CTAAGGCACAGACAGGTCATATTCACATAAAAAGTTTATTACCACCATAAAGCAGCCCATATATGTTAGGTCCAAAGTGAATGAAAAGAGCAATCTAGTTAGAAGGAAGTGGATCTGAACTTTTACTCAATTCTCATTTTTCTTCTGCCTTTTATCTAAATTGCTTATCTTGGCATAGTACAAGCTACTTTGTGAAAAAAGAGAGGATGGCACTTTCACGACAGATATCAGCCTGGTGCTAGAGAGCTTTCGAGGTCCAGAGTCTTGCCAGAGCTCTGCTGGGCAGTGCCTGCACGGATTTGACCTCTGATTAGAATCGTTGTTACTCTCTATTTGCCCACTGATAAAGTGGGTGCAATGACAGCCCTAACAGGAGGCCACAGTATGGATTAGTTAGCACTTTGTATATAAAGAATCTGGGAAAGTGTTTGGTCTATGTTGGCAGCACCCAGTAAATGCTGGTTTAATTTCCTCATTCCCTTTCTCGTATTCTGCCACCCTCCATTCTACCTTCCTCTATATTTCCTTTCAATGTCTTGTTGTTTTTTGTTTTAAACTAAAAAATGAAGATAAACGCTAGATAATCATGAAAACCCTGATCAGTAGGAAATATCTATGCCCAGCTTATTGCCTGGAATTTGGATTTTGTAGCCTGATTTGACAAAAATCAAAATAATATCACAATATCTTACACCACCAAAGTTGGGGCATGAGAAGGAATAGAGAGAAGTGAAAGAAGGGTAAGCAACAGCACAAATGAGAAGGAATGTAAAGTGATCTGCAAACAGCCACAGCCCAAAAGAGTTTACAAAAAATTTAGTCTCGAAGACTTGATACTATGCACTTCCTGTATTTTAACTAATCCAGATACATTGACAACAAACTCAGCACAAATGGTACACTGCTTTGTTCAGTGGAACTCAAAAGGATCCAAAGTTTACACAGCAGCACAAGTTTCACATTATTGGTGTTCTTAAAGAGTATCTTCCAAGGGTAGGCAATAAAAGAGATGGAGTGGCATTTTCCAATCTTTTCTGGTGTCTTGAAGTCCATCTCAGCCAATACAGTCAATATCCATAAAAACAAATATCCCACACAGTAATTCCTCAACAGAGCCCTGTTCTGGCCACCATTTCCTGACATGTTCTTAAATATCTGTAAATGTTAAATTTATTTCACTTTCTGACTTTGGCCCCAAACTTGCTTTATGGTTGGATAATGGCTAATATTTTTTGGCTATCCTCACTTCTGTCCACTTTGATTCTCAGGCTGCATTGACTTTGCTGATACCAGATAATACCCCAGCCCCATTTTGCTTAGGCAACAGCACCATCCAGAACAATTGGAAATCAGAGGAGGCTAGCACAATCATTTGTTTTTTAAATGGCTAAGCACCAGCATATCAGAGGAAAGATATAAAAAATTTCTTCTTGGCCGGGCGCGGTGGCTCAAGCCTGTAATCCCAGCACTTTGGGAGGCCGAGGCGGGTGGATCACGAGGTCAAGAGATCAAGACCATCCTGGTCAACATGGTGAAACCCCGTCTCTACTAAAAATACAAAAAATTAGCTGGGCATGGTGGCGCGTGCCTGTAATCCCAGCTACTCAGGAGGCTGAGGCAGGAGAATTGCCTGAACCCAGGAGGCGGAGGTTGCGGTGAGCCGAGATCGCGCCATTGCACTCCAGCCTGGGTAACAAGAGCAAAACACCGTCTCACAAAAAAAAAAAAAAAAAAAAAATTTCTTCTTTATGACCAGGCAATACTCCAATGTAACTTTCATGAAAAACACTTATTTGAACAAGAAATGTAAATTCACCTAAAATTTTTGTTACGCATGAGTGTAAGAGTTACAAAGAAGGAACACCTAATGTATAAATGAGTTAGTATGAAAAAATATTTTAAAGAGGATTTGGAATTTTTCTCCCCTATCTTACTCATATACCTGCTGAAGGGCTGTATTTTATTTGCTAAGGGGATATGTTTATAAAAAAGGAGATGTTTCCTACTGCAGGGTCTAGAGAACTAGACCCAGTAGAAAAAAAAAAAAATCAACAGTTGATAAATCCAGCAAAACCACTGCCTTAAAATAGTATCCCTTATCTTTAACAGTCCCACACAAGACCTAGGGCTTAAGCTGAATTCCTAAAAATGACATTTAAATTTCAACATGGTACTACTTAAATTACTCCAACCTATGTCTCTGCTTTTGCTCTCCTATTCCTACAACATGTCGAAGACTTGGTCTCAGTATTTTCTATCTCTATGTGCAAATAACCATGTTCTAAATCATTACTCAAAGTCTTCCTCCTTTATAATGTCTTCCTAACTCCCCGGCAGAACTGATTTCAATTTCTTCCAGCTCTCTAAGCATGTTTTTGTCCACAACTAGTGTTTTTAAGTTCAACCTGCTTTACTTTTGGTTATTTTTTTATTTTTTTAATTTTTTTTTTTGAGACAGAGTCTTGCTCTGTCACCAGGCTGGAGTGCAGTGGTGCAATCTCGGCTCACTGCAACCTCCGCCTCCTGGGTTCAAGCGATTCTTCCGCCTCAGCCTCCTGAGTAGCTGGGACCACAGGCGCGTGCCACCATGCCCGGCTAAATTTTTATATTTTTAGTAGAGACGGGGTTTCACTGTGTTGGCCAGGATGGTCTCGATCTCTTGACCTCACGATCCACCCGCCTTGGCCTCCCAAAGTGCTGGGATTACAGGCGTGAGCCACCAGGCCCGGCCATTTTGGGTTATTTTTAATGTCCGTATCCTCTATGGATAAATTGACAGTATTTGGAACCTATCTTCTGTTTTGACCCTCAGTTCCCTCAGAGTGCCTCGTCCACTACTTTGTAACTTACCAGTCAGTAAATGTTTGCTAAATTGAACTTAAAATATAAAAAGAGGGGGAAATCTCAGATGGCCTCTTGCTGTTCATATTTGTATTAGGAAAGCGAAGGGTCCAAGCTAATGTAAACATGCAGTATGTCAAGGAAAAAGATAGTTAAGACAACCAATCACATATCCAAGATTCTTAAGGCAGCATTTAGAGACCTGTATTAGATGAGGTCTTGTCCAGAGACAAGCAGCAACTCTTCTTCCTTGGTACTGCATAGACTCTCTCTCTCTCTCTCTGGCCTGTTTATTCCTAATTATATTAAATTTAAACCCCTTCCTCGCTGCTGTCAGCCAGCAGCCCCAGCCAAACAGTGAAAGCTGAATGCTTTCTCAACACTTAATAATAAACCCAGAAAGTGTAGAAAGCTTTTTTATGGTGTAGCAAGATGGGTGTTAGCAAGGCTAAATGGTACTGCCTTGGCATATAAACCCCAACAAATGTTTCTTCTTGAGAAGATACTCAGTTGACCCTTAATCTGAAGACATAAAACTCTCCTACACAAAGTGTTGAAGACCGGCAGCATCAGCATCATGTGGGCACTTTTAAGAAAAGCAGAATCTCCGAACTCACTCCCAGACAATCTGAATCAGAACTGGCATTTTAACATTATCTCCAAATGACTCATATGTAGGTAACATTTTAAAGAAGCCTGGACACTGAATATTCCAGCATCAATATTTCATCTGCTTCCTGGCAGTCTCTTTGCTCTAAACCGTAAGATTATTAAAAAAATGATTTGCTTCTCACACCCTCTCCTCTAACCCTCCATGATTTTCTCCATTTAATATGTAATACAAAAAGACAAAAGATTTCTCTAATGCAGAGAATGTATACATTTCATTCACATACACATTCACATTCACATATTGTTAGATCCTTATGATATTCCTGTGATAGCAACCTGTATAACTTGTTACATATCACTTATGTAAATAAATGTCTGAGAACCCCCAAGTCTAAAGGTTTGAAGATGCAGACGGCTTCTGTCTACAGTCAACCAACTCTTCAACCTCAGGATTAGAGAATTCTGATTGCATTATCTATGGAGCCAAGAACTTAAATGCCCAGTTCTATCTTACTCTTGAATTTTTTGCCTTTTCAACTACCACAACCCAGTTTCTCCCACACAGACACTAAACATGCACACTCTTGATGAAAGCTTTTATAGTGGCCATTACATAATGGATTTGCTGTCAGTTTCTCTAAAATGTGCCTGCTGAAGGAGTAAAAAAGAAAAATCTAATCCGTGCTTATAAGTAATGGAGTTTTCAACTAACTAAAACCTTCTTGGGCATTTCTCTCCTCTATAGCATGACTTTTTAATTGGCTTTAGTCATTTATGTGATCAGAATATTTCCAGCAATGGGATAAAACACCATAGGTAATAATATTAAATATGTATTATAGTTGCATTAAGAAAGCATTTATAGTGTTAGGATGTTTACAGTGTTAGAATTATAATATAGTAAATTGTCAAACCAGAGCGCATTTTCAAGATGTTTAGTGTAATTCTAGGCCACTTTCTGAAGTAAATATCTCTACACAATGCAAAATATTAACTAAAACTTTAGGCTTCATCAAAATGCTTAAACACTGTTGTTTAGGCATAAAAATGCATTACTTTTATAAAAGCCTTTTGGTTATTGAAGAATGGACAGGTGTCCACAATTTAAAAATCGTCTGGGTGTAGTGGCTTACACCTGTAATTTTAGTACTTAGGGAGGCCAAGGTGGAAAGATCGCTTAAGGCCAGGGGTTCTAAACCAGCCTGCCAAGCATATCAAGACCCCTATCTCTACAAAAAAGTTAAAAAATTAGCCAGGCCCGGTGGTGCACACTTGTGGTCCCAGCTACCTGGGAGGCTGTGGTGGGAGGACTGCTTGAACCCAGGAGCTGGAGGCTGCAGTTAGCTATGATGGCACCACTGCACTTCAGCCTTGGCAACACAGCAAGACCCTGTCTCAGAATAAATAAATAAATAAATAATATAACATAAATAAATAATAAGCAGAGTATTAGAACAAAAAAAAAATCTTTAAAAGATTATCTAAGCCGATCCCTCATTTCCATTTTTTATACTTGGAAGGAAAAGCCCAGAGGCCACACAACTTACCACAAGTTCCACTGTTGTCTGACACTGTCTAGCTGATTAACTTTGGCCAGTCCCTTCTTTCTCACACAGTTTCTTGATCTGCAAAACGAGGTGATTGAAACTAGATGATGTAAGAGTCCCACACAGCCTGAAAATGCCATTTTTCTACAAGACTGGAAACCACAGCTTAGAACATTTCCTCTCCAGAAGCAACACACAGGAAGATGAAAAGATTTTTAAGTGGCACTTGGCACTATTGATGTTCCAACTCATTGATACTATAATCTCAGCTTGACACTTTAGAACCACATAGATTGCTAGTATCCACCTCAGACCAGCAAAGCAGAAGAGAAAGGCTGTTGGCATACTCTTTGCCTGAGAAATGTTGCAACTGAAAATCAGACCAGAGACACAGTAAATCTTTTCCTTCCTCTTCTGGAGATCTAGTGACTCCTGTCTGAGCCTTGCCTTAGGAATTTCTCCAGGAGAAATTTTTCACTGAGGACCTGGGAGTCCAGTCCTTGACTGAACCCCAGGCAAGGATGCATTTCCTCCTGGAAAGCTGCCTGCCTGAACAAGTCATTCAAAATCAACCTTAAAAGGAACTCCAGTCTCCAGGGAGCGGCACAATTTAGCATCTTTTAATCAGCTGTCTGGCCTTGTTTGGTCTTTTTTGAAGCCTTTTTTAATATTGTATTACAATTTTATTATGTTACTAATCAAAGAGTTGGTATGCATAATTTAAAAAGGCAAATTCAGCCTTTGAATGAAGACCGGGTCATGATCATGACTCATGCTTTAACTACATTTACTTATCTTCCATTCTTCATTCCTGTATGGGACAATAGCTTTTAAGTGGCTTTTATTTATTTTTTTAAATGAGTTTCATGTTTCGCCCCCCTTTCTCCTTTTCATTATTACTGTTTTCTAGCAGAAAATCAGAAAGTTGGGGAATGATTTAAGTTTGTAAAATCTGAGAGATCATCTGCACTGAAACCCAATTTTATTAAATGGTTTAGGAGATTTAAATGTAATAACAAGGCAGTACCCAGATACCATGTATGTAAAAGTGGGTGCTGCAAGTGTCCCTAGTAATTAAGCCAGTAGTTAAACCAGAGTTTAATTGATTAACTTTTATGACATACGCAAGTGAACCCGAAACACTGGGTCCTATTAGCACTTAATATGTAAAGAAAGCTAGTATCTGTACCTAATAATTGCATACATAATGTGGTCAACAGAGAGTATACAGATTCTAGAAAAAAAATGTATCTTCCAAAAAATAACAATTCTCTTAGTAGCATCATATTATTGTCATCTATTATGACAGGCCTAAAAAACCCAAGCGTTCATCAAAGAAGAAATTCAATAGAATGTTTTTGGCATGCTCTCCTTTTAACTAAAAAGAGAATATGAAATGAGAAGAGAAAAAGTAAGATTTTTTTATTCCAGTCTGAATAAAAAATATTCTTTGAAGCTCCTCATGGTATGCATGACAAATAAACATACATTTATTGCTTTCTGCAACAAAAGAACTGTAGTATGTCTCTTGGCAATTAATTAATGTTGTCTCCAATATTTCTAGAAAATTAATATCAAATTCATTGGAATGTGTCTTCTGGAATAATAGGACCTCTGGTCCATTTCCTGTATAGTAATGTAATGACAAGAAGATACATTTTTAAGTTTTATGTGTTCAAATTGGTTTAGAAAGGTAAATTTCTATACTCTAATTAATGTATATCAACAATTTTCAAACAATTTTAGCAATGGAGTTCTTCTTTGAAAGAACAGCTTGGGCCCAACATAAGCTAAGGCACTTTAAATGTCTATCATCGGCTAAGAATATACTTTATATTTTGTGGCATTCACCAAGTACCTTCATAGAATTTGAAAGGTAGTTAGAAAACTATTCTTAAAATTCAAACATCTCATATTATTGATGAGAAAACTGAGTCTTCAAAAGAAGTGCTATGTCTCACAGCTAGTTAGTGGCAAAAGTTAGAATTCATAACTTGTTCATTTATTCAACTGATGTTTATTGAGAGCTCTCCATGAACTCATTTTGTGCTGTTTCCTATGTATATCACATTTATTATTTTTTAATTGATCATTTAAATTTTATTTAATTTGTTATCATTTAATCACTTCCTAGCCATAAAAAGAAAAAAAAACATTTTTTTTGGGGGGGATAGAGTCTCTTTCGCCCAGGCTGGAGTGCAGTGGCGTCACCTTGGCTCTCTGCAGCCTCTGCCTCCCAAGTTCAAGTGAGTCTCCTGCCTCAGCCTCCCAGGTAGCTGGGATTACAGGTGCCCACAATCGTGCCCAGCTAATTTTTTTGTATTTTTAGTAGAGATGGGGTTTCACCATGTTGGCCAGGCTGGTTTTGAACTCCTGACCTCAAGTGATCTGCCCACTTCGGCTTCCCAAAGTGCTAGAATTACAGGCGTGAGCCACCACACCTGGCTGAAAACTTATGTCTGTTAACCAATCATCAAATCTGCATTCACCATGTCTCATGTGTAAAGAACTAAGAATATGTTAGAAAAAGGCAAGTGTACCTAGAAGTTTATAATCTGTTTAAGTAGTGGAGATGCACAAACAAGAAATTTGCTTTAAAAAACCAGGATGACATTTAAGGGCTAAGTATAACACAGCAATGAATAGGTTGGCCCCAGAAACGTATACCCCAAAATTTGGCCCTTTACATGCTGAACTAAAGAATAATCCTCATGGTCTCTCTGACAGCCCCACCTCAGCCCCCAGTCTGAGCTCTCAGTCTCTCAATCCTCTGTCTCCTGTTTCTCCCAAAGCACAGGATAAAGTTGTTCTCAGAAGTTTCCTTATGTAAAGCTCAGATCCACCAAAGAATTTTCATGAACTGAACTCGTATCATGGGAAGAAGGATAAATCTGTCAACACATCTGGATAGACTTTTGCCATAAACCATTGTCTGCTCTGCAGCCCAACAGACTTGGTCTCAGGCCATTACATGTTCTTCAAGCCCACTGAATTTTCCTAATAATCATTTACTCCCCTCAAAGTCATCTACGCTTCCTTACGTCACTTTAGGTGGTAGGGTAATCGCTGTGGTTCTCTCCTATGCACGTTAATAAACTTGTATGCCTTCTCACTTATTAACCTGCCTTTTGAGAGTTGGTTTTCAGCAGTGGGCTAAGGAGAAGTTTTCTTTTGGCCCTGAAGTATATGTTATGTAAAGAGAGATTCTTAAAAAGAGAGAGCTCATTGGGACTGACTTTAAGTATCTGAATAAGCTTAAATGAAGAGATAAAATTTGACCTTAAAGTATTTATTATTATTACTTTCATTGTACTAAAAACTTTCGCATATTCCATGACATCTGGATTGCAAGAACTGTATAAATAGACTTTTCCCAAATAATAGCTCATTAAAGAAACTAGGAGAAAATGGCATTATAACATCAATAGGCTCCTAAAGAGTTATTCAGCAGTTGGGCAGTTCATTCTTCATCTACTTTGTTTGTGACCTTTGTTGTAAAAATCCTGATCTTCATCCATGAATTAGGCCAGTAAGCATTTCAAAATTGACCAAATCTTCATCAATCTTGGTCATTCCTGCAACCAACTAGAAATTGTGTTCAAATTCATCTCTTATACAATTTCATGACTTAATTCTCACCCAAGTCAGTTACCTTTCCCTCCTCTAAAGAATGTAATTATCTACATTTTATTTGAAAACTCTTAGTTTTTTACTCTATTATTTGCATATGTTACTATATTATTTATGAATAAATGCCACTTTTCTCATCTATATTAGAAGCCCAAGAAAATGAAAACCATGGCTTATACCTAAATACAGTGTTTTTCCAAAGAGGCGCTTAATAAATAGTCACTGTTGTAATTTGCTTTCAATGGAAAAGCCCACACATGTTACAGAATCTAAACTAGTCAATGATTAGGTGCTGACAGTCTACAACTTGTTGCTTTTGATGATTTACTGATATGACCCTCAAATCCTAGTACCTTACATGTGATGCATTTTAATGATTTTCTATATTATTCCATTTCAATCTATTTCATTTTGAAAAATTACAAGTTCAGTGAATGATAAAATTGATTTTATCATCATCTCTGGGTTCATGCATTCAATCAAATTACTAATTTATTCTAAGGATTATTTGATTTACTTGTAGAATATAGATAACAATATTATTTCTTTCATAGGATTGCTTTTAGTATTAAATGAAATGCTACCACTAGCACTGTTCTTGGGGCTTAGTGTTCAATAAAGGCATACTATGTTTATAGATATTATTATTTTAATCATTTCCACCATTATATTAGTATTATAAATTCAACTTTAGATATTTGAAAACTTAATTTATGTTAAAATTCTTAGATACATGACTTCTAACTCTTTTTTTTTTTGAGACTGAGTTTTTGCTCTTGTTGCCCACGCTGGAGTGCAATGGCATGATCTCAGCTCACTGCAACCTCCGCCTCCCCGGTTCAAGCAATTGTCCTGCTTCAGCCTCCCAAGTAGCTGGAACTACAGGTGCCTGCCACCACACCCAGTTAATTTTTATATTTTTAGTAGAGACGGGGTTTCGTCATGTTGGCCAGGCTGATCTCGAATTCCTGACCTCAGGTGATCCACCTGCCTCGGGCCTCCCAAAGGGCTGGGATTACAGGTGTGAGCCACTGTTCTGGGCCCTAATGTCCTAACTTTTTATCAATTGTTAAAGGAAAAGAAAAAAGACAACAAATAGAATTGGTCATACTCCTTCTAGACATCAAATACTCAACATTATTTTGTTTTTGGTTAACTCTGCAGACTTTTGATTTAGTACTTCATCTCCGTAGTGATTAAGGAATGTGGAAAATAACATGGCATTTCATTTAGATGCTTCTTTGAGGTGACATACATGACAGATTCATTCTTCTAACTTAACTGTGATGAAATTCATCTCATATTCTATTAGCAGCAGAAATATGAACAGAAGCATGTGATCTCCCTCATCTCTACTATCTGTACCAGAGAAGAAGATATTAACTGAAAGAAACTGAAATATATTTTCCGGTTTTTTAATAATTCTGATATGAGCCCTCAAATCATTG